TGACGACTCTGGTTTCTTTTTTACTGTAGGAATTTAAATGTAATACAGAAGTCTTTACATTTTAAATCCATATGCACTTGGTAAAAAATTTGATAGCAAAATTAGCTGAACTCTTAAGTGATTCATTTAGACTCTGATCTTGCAAATATGAGCTATGCTTAAGCGTAAGAATCAGCATACAGATAGGATCAGGAATAGCCACTGAAAAGGTGTCTTTTGTCTTCATTAGGATTATTTTTATGTGTAAGGATCAATTTAATAGTATGTCTTTGGCAGAATCCCACGCAAGTTGCAAGGGGATGAAAAATACTGCAGTATTAAAAATATTTCACCTTCATATTAAAGCAAGGCTGAAACCTGCAGTCCCTTCTCTCTAATAATGAAAAAAAAAGTAAACAGGTCCACACTGCTTACCCCTGTTTAGACAGACCTCCTGTCGTTGCTGCACGTATTTCTACCTGACCATTTAGGTTTGTCTCAAAAGACGAGAAGGAATCTGTTAAGCTCACAGTCAATACACTCCGTTTCCAAATTCTCCAGACAGAATACTAAATTACCCATGCTCTAATTTATGTTATTAATACAAAAGATGAGCAATGACCACCGATTTCATCCCTCTGGTACCTGACTTCCTTTCAGAAGGCTGATAAAACAAGCATGTTACGACAGTAAAAGCAAGGATCCAATTTAACTTACCTCCACTTTAAGGAGTGCACAGCCTTTCAAGAACTCTTGAATATTACTGATGCAATCAGCTTCATTTTTAGGCTCCAGGCAATACTAAAGAAAGAAAATCCACTGAGATCATTGCATTACCTTCCGTATAGCCTCTATTCAGAAGGCCTGCACGAATATTGACATGTGCGTTTCATACTGAATTAGGGAAGCTTCTTAAGGGGGCGGATGGGGGTGGCAGGCAAGCTGTCGACGCAGGAAGAGCGAGCCACTGGAGGAAGTGATGCATACATCGAAATGGTCGGCATCTTGTTTTGAATGTCAACATATGACAGTGCCCTAAGTGACAGTGGGAAATTGATGACCTTTCAGAACACACTGCCCCCAACCATCACATACAAGCAAAAGATAAGGAGCTCGCAAAACCGATTTTTGCATAATAAATAAAGGCTCCTGTTTTACAGGGCGGAGAACCTGTTTGGGTTTGGTTTTTTTTTAATTAAACAGCTTCTCTTCTGTGTTGCCATTTCCTCTCTCTCATTGGACTCCTTCCCTTTTTTTCTCCTGCAGTTACTTACCACACTTTTGGACTGTCTGAATATATGCCTCGTAAAACTGTAATAGGAGGTACTTACATGGCTTAAATAGCTTCAGTACCAATGGATTTGCTGGCCTTGGGACAGTTCAAAATGGCATGGATGCAAGGTTTGTTATTTATTCCTAACCTGATCTGCTTCTCTAGTGTATTTCCGGACTAACAAGTAAAAACTAACAAAGTAACAGTAAGAGTTCTGAAAGTGAATATATTTAGTTGTAATTAATGATATTTACGTAAATAGACAAACTGCATATCCTTCTATTCAAAACCAAGGTATTTTGATCTCTGGTAGGCCCGGTATTTCCTGCCACTGAATGAACACGCGTAACTCAGCCAACTGCAACCTTTCAGGGTTTTTTCTGGATGTAGAGACAAAAATCAAAGAACTAAAGCTACAATCGTACTTTGCCCTCAATTAGATACAACTAGTATCTGAAACTTATTAAAACGTTCATCTCTCTGATGCTCCTTGCTCATCTCACTTACCAAAGAAAACCTTACCTCGAAATGATCGGGGCAGTATTTTACCAAGCAGTGCTCCGTTTCAGGCTAGCAAAATACATCTGAAAGTGTTACCTTTTCTGCGGATCCCGGAAGAAGCCGATTAATGAGTTTACAAAGCACAGTTCCATCTTTCAGAGAAGTTTTCAGGAACTCCTCCGGATCATCTACTATTTTCTTAGGGGAATTTAAAACTCCTAATGAAATAAGCCACGTTACGATTTGTTCTTCTGGATTCATCGCGGACAGTTCTGCCGCCAGCGCAGTTCTCCTGTGCAGCAGCTTGCTGGAACCCACATCCGTGATTACATCTTCCTGCCTCTGCTGCTGCTCGCAGAGCCCAACTGCGAAACTTTTTTGCTCAGCACAGAAGCTCACCAAATCTGAAGAACCAGAAGTGCTGTTACTCTAAGGTAAGAAACTTTTTAATAAAATAGTTTCTAGCGCTCTGTTACTTTAAAGAGAGGCAGTGAAAGCAGACCTTCCACTGCACATTTTCAACATTATTGAAAATAGAAGTATTTTATGTGGATATTTTTTCCACCAAAAAGATCTTACCTAGTGACTTCCTCCTTGTGGCAGCTGGCATCCTATCATCTGGTAAACTTGGTCGTAACTTGTGGCTATTGCCCAAAGAAGTAAATTTGTCTTTAGTACTGTAAATAATGAGGTATTTGCAGCATTAAAATTGAACTTCACACTAAAGATGCTTGGGGATAAATGTCACACTAAATAATAAAAATTTTTCAACTTTATGTGGCAAACCTACTTCACTAGAATTGCCTTTTATAGTAGTTTTCTAAGATCTGATTTTTGAAAATAAATTCTGATCATGCACTTTATGCAGAAAAATATTATTTTTTCAACTATCTTACACAAGAAGTGAACATATAATCCAAAATGGTTTTTTGGAAGATGATAAGATCTCTCAAAACAAACATCTGGATAACTTTTCAAAGTTCATAAATTTAAAGTCATCCAAAGGTGAGAATGAAACTTCCCAACTATTTTACTTGTCCTATTAAAACACCCCTTTCCACCAGCTCCTCAGGATCCATTGTATGGAGTAGTATCAGTCTCTCACCCTGCCCTGGGACAGTACTAACCATCACTTATTGAGCATAGCAATTTAGAGAACTCCGGTCATCTTGCCGTTTTCTTCTCCTTTTTAACTGTCATTTCACCAGAACAGATGGAAAATGAAGCAATTCTCTGTTTATGATGCCAAGGAACTTGGAGCATCATGGATTGAAGCAATACAACAGGAAACACATTATCCTAGAGACCAGAGTTTCCCAGTGACAATATTCTGAGCCCATTCCTAACCCTGTTACTTGAAGCAACTGTTTTCAAGACATCAGTGCTCTCAGACTGCTTAGGCTAGTCATTTAAGGGGTAGGGAGAAACAGAACAGCGAAAGGGTGAATTATATACAATAAATATGCATGGTTTTGTGTCTCCACTTTCCAGATCCTACGACTGGTAGTGGGACCTACGTAAGGAGCATTTCTAACAGCCACCGTTAAGGAATCAGAATTGCCCTTTTAGGGTTACAGACTTTTGACCTTTAAGAGGACGTGGGGATGAGTTCCAGGTCTCTGTTGTATGGAAATACTAGCAACAAGCTGCAGCCAGTGTGAACGATAAAGCTGGCTGAAGCTGAATCACAAACTCATCACCATCTGGTGAAGTACATTTACAACTATCCATATGTGTGCAAAACATTTCGAATTTATGACTAATTACAAGAACTTTAGGGTTTTTTTTTTCTTTTTCCAGTTCTCAGGAGCACTACTATTTTGTATCAGTGAGTACTTGCAGTCTCCACTTTTGTAGCTTGCCTTTTCTTTTTCCAAATCTGTAGTAGGCAAGACAACTGCTAATGCTTATTCATCTACCGGGGACAACCGTTTGTATATGGAGGACATCCACTTCAGTCATCTCATCAGAACATACCAGTTTCTGATGTAAAGAGCAAGAGAAATATTTCAACACAGGGAAAATTAGACACCTGCTTCATTAAACTCAGTGTTACAAACCTGAACACAGAAGAGGACTTCACCCACTCCCTCCTCTAAAGCAAACCTTTTTTTGTGTAGATAGGCAGGTTTAGTTTCACGACTATTTCACATGCAGCTGTTGCAGCCAAGCAGATGTTAATGGTTGCAACTACAATTAAATGAAAGTACTTCCCACATCTTGAACACTTACCAACTGCTTGAAAGACCCGGAGACGTATGCATGTTCAGAAAGCCCAAAAATTTAAGGCACTTCTGATTAGCCACCTCAAGGCCAACCTTACATCCTTCAGAAAGGACCCATCTGGCAGTGTTCCAGCTTGTTCACCCACCCCACCCCATTCTGTGGCAAATCCAGGGTATGAAGGTATAGCCACCAAGCAAGGAACAGCTTCTGATATCTTTGGAAAAGACTTCAACTTTGGCTATTTGCTGACAGGGACAAATCAAATTGTCAATCATCTCTTGCAGAGTCAACCTCCACCCCGAAGTTACAAATAAACTTTTATTTGCAGCCTGATTTAGACCAGTGATGACTATATAGCACAGTATTATTTAAAAAATAAAAAGGGAGGCGGGGGGTGGTCTATACCCAGTGATCAAAGGACTGATGGCGTAGACATCACTAACAGCATGGTAGCAGGAGCAAGTTAAGAATAGCATTCAGGTGTTCAGAAAACATTCTAGAGCGATTCTCCTCAGTCACTCACTTTTATCTAACTTGCTCTTTTTTTCAGCATAGAGGGAAAACACCCAATACAAAGAACAATGCTAGAGTATTTTTCTGCTGCAGAATCTACTGATGCCTTACATTTAAAGTAGGGACTTTCAGTGATGAAGTTTGAGTCAGCGCACGAGCTAATTTACATTGGTGGTACATTCTCGTTATTTAGCATTTTAGGCAGGTATCATTCATCATTCTTTTTTCTGTACGAGAGCTCATACGTTGGCATTAGATTTTAGTCAGGATGATCTGTTTTAGCCTACACAGCAGTACCCAGACTATAAGCTACTGCTGAAAAAGGAGTTTCTTAATACTACAGCATATTATTCTTTCTTGCAGAACATACACTTCTCTGAGACCACCTTGTAACAATATACCGCCATCAGTATGTAACACTAGTAATCTTTTTTACCATGCAAGTGTTGCTAAGTAACAGGTATTTTATTTTAATTAAAAAAAAACAAAACCCATAATGCTTTTGTTTAACAGTAAATTTATTAGCCCTGGGAAATACTGCAATTCTACCCATCTGCTACATACAGGCAGACTTACTCCTAGAATCTGCAGTGATATTCTTGTCCCAAAACCCAAAGGTAGTTTTAAATCCCTAGACAAGGTACGCATGCTTTTTCTTCTTTAGCTACTCATTATAAACTGAGTGTTAGTTGTTTAAATGAGATCAGTTTATATCTACCACAGAAAAAGTCAATATAAACTTTATTAGCCATGACTGTTTAAGTACTTCAGTCAATCTGAAGTTAGTTTTCTACATGAAATACCGGTGCCTGAGGATTCTCCTCTCATATGTTGGCACATCAACATATAGGCAAGATAAAAATGCATTAAAACCAAGGCAAAGTTTTGAAGAAAGCATCTTGTTGCAAGAGATGCAGTGCTGTCTGGAGTTTTGCAAGAAGCTAGTACACACAAGAACACTAATTATTCGGGGGATTTATCACTAATATCATCTCCATACATCAACGCTTCCTTCCTCCCATCTAGAAGGCCCGGACAATTATAAAACTGTTAATGTAAGAATATCGTAAAACTTTTCATGGTTTCTTGATGAAGAATTTGTAACAATTTAGTCCTCTGTATTTGAGAGGATTAAAACTCACTTTTATGTAACTTGCTCTTTTTTTCAGCACAAACGGAAAGCACCCTATGTAAAGGGCAACCCTGGAGTATTTTTCTGCTGCAGAATCTGCGGATGCATGTATACTGACTAAAAAAAAGGCTCACTCTTGGAAGATGCTGGCTACAGCAGGCAGCAACTGACTTCCAACTGAGAATTTTTTTTATATCCAAGAGATTAGTAGTGCTACTTTCAAAGGCAATTCCTGAATGATAACACAACCCTCTAAAACAAATACTGGGTAACACCACACTCAAAAGCCAAGCTTTATCAGTTGCATTTTGTTATCCTTCGATTTTCCAATGCATATCCACTGCTGCACTGCATTCTTCTAGTCACCGTAACTGAAAAAAGGAAAAGCAAGTTAGTACACTCTCAGAAACCAAGAGACAGACAAAAAAGCTAAATGATCGAGTTGATTTTTTTTATGTACACAATGTATACATTTGGATTATATTCAATCTGTCCCAACAGTACGAAAATACATCAATAGCTAAATACAATAATCAAAATTATCTGAGGACTACTTGTATTAATGCACACTTCTTGTACAACACTGTCTCCGGAGCAAGTACTAAGTGAAGCCTCTCTAATTCCTGCGCGTATCCCCCTCCAAACTCTTGCCTACCACAAAATCCCACTAGCTCTTGACCACCTCAGCATGATACTCAGAGTCCTGTAATAAACTGGCATACCCACTGGTACTAATCTGTAAGTAATGATGTGCTAGAAATTAAATAAAACTTGTGATCAAGAAAAGGTGAACAGCTTGCTGAATGAGTACAATTACGTTGTTATTTTTTTACAGAGTTAGTATTACCTTTCCTGCCATGTAGTCGGTTAAGTTCTATTTACTGCTCCCTAAACCAACATTCTCACCATGCCTGTTAGGAATCTGGAAATGTTTATAAGCTGCAGAGTAGGCTGAGAAAGTGTACTTTTATCTTTAATATATTTATTAATTACAACATGGCCCACTACCACCAGTAAGTGACAAAACATATCTAGTGAATTGAGAAAAAGCACACTTAATTTTTCCAGAAGAGAGAAGCTTTTTCACTTGCCAAGAGTAATTAACCTTCAGCTTTCCAACTAATAGAGAATTGAAGCTAACATGGCACATACATATAAAAAAGTTGAAAACTTTCTGACACAACCTATATGATGATTTGGCAAAACCTTTTAAGATCGCCTAAGATGCTGCATATTAAAGACAGTATTCCATCTCTTTATTAGAGGATTCATGATCTGGATCAGCCTTAAACTGTAAATTTAAAAATCAACTCCTGCTCATTTTTTGCAGGTTGGTAGGGGAGCAAGGGAGAAGAGCTCACTTTTAGACTATTTCCCTAGTCCACTTCGGTGCCATACTACTGACATCAGTCATTTTTGAATGAAAAGTGATTTTTGAGTGAAAAAAAGGTTAGGTTTTTTAATCTTTAAGACGACACCTACAGTTCAAATGGTGTCCTTTCCAGTAGGATTTGTGATTTAAATATTTCAACAGTCACGCTTAAGAGGACCACGAAGACAAGGAAAGTAACACTTTTTTGTTGGTTGAAATTTTATCAAGTAACAGAATAATAAAAAGCTGGTCAGGTAGCAGCTTTTACTTTATTTAACTACATGCTTCCTTTGACTCAAAACAGAAAACACCCATGATGCTTCTGTATTTGATCTGAAATACAATCCAGTACCCTGAAATAAAAATGTATTTTTAATTCATTATCAAGGTAACAGTAGCAATTTATCAGGAGCATTTACAAAGTATTACTGGCATATCCTGACAAAAGCATTGCACAGGTATTTATGCTGAGCCTCTAAAAAGAATAAACTGTAAGCCAACTGAGATGACAAACATCACACAGTATTCAACAGAACCTATCCTTCACACAACATGAACTTCCCTGAAATCAGTGACCATGTGTCAGATGAACAACACTGCACTGACTACAGCTTTTTCACCATTTCCAAGTTGGTTCTCAAAAGCAGTATTTGAAACTAATAGCAAAATATGTTCTTACGTTTACCGAGTACTTTGCAAACTAATTAAAAAAATACATAAAAAGTACACACACTTCTTATAAATACTTCCCTTGGAAAAGGGATTTGTGCTTATCCTTCACTCTATGCTAGTTTTAACAGACTTTGCACACATTAAAAGTTATTTCCTTTTAATAACAATTATTTCATAGAAAAGTTCTGAAAAGCTGTATTAGCGTGACAGCCAGTACCGCTTTTTTTCTTCTCCTAGTGAGCTATCAGAGAAACAGAAGAAACAGTCACTTTTCCACATACAAGTCTTGGAGACAGTTGCTCCTACATCTACTTGAGAAATAATTTTAATAGGGTAGGCTTCAAAATCATGAAACACAGCTGACCTACAAAGTTTTAAACCATTCTGGAGATGCCTGGAGGTTTGCAATTTAATCCAAGGACCTCTGCAGAGATCAATTCCTAATCAAAGATTATACTCAGTATAATCATTAAATTGCATGTTCCGCACATTTAACAAGACTGATTAAATGTCTGTACTGGCATTTATTATTTCAATTCAGATTTGTATGGTCTGGTCTCATGAAGATTCCTAGACTAAGTACTCTCTGCAGCATGATTTGAAGTGTATTTATGATCAGATTTTATGTTCAGCCATACCCAAATTGGACCAATTTCCGCACATGAGAAGTCTCTCACTGTCATTCCTAACTTGGTAGGCTTAAAAAGCCTACTTAAATCTCCTCCTCCAAAATTCAAACAGCAAATTGAAAGCATTATTTAGCCACCAAGAATGTCTATCCAAATCTGTAAACACAAAACCACCAGAGATCTTCCTTCCAGCTATTATACTAGTATAATATTTACCTTATGTATTGGTACAGGCACCACCCATCTCTGCCATCAACACAGATGAACCAGAATTACTTCAGTGGTGTCTTCTAGAAGTTATCATCCTGCAATCAAGAGAAGATACGACAAATTGAGAAAAGTACATTTTATGGCACAAGTCAACCTATAGTGCTTCCCCCCATTTCAAAAAAGTCACAAGCTTGGGTTTGCAGATTATTCTGTTGCAAGTTTTACTGCCTCTCTTTTAAGTGGTGGAGTATTCACTGGCTTGGAATGGACTGGAATGGCTTAGTGACAGGTTGCATGGCTTATGGATTCTCATTCCTTTTCAATGGTGCACTGCCATGTTAAATCCATAAATTGCACGACAAAATTTACTGAGGACTAAACAGTAGTACAAAGCTTTTGGGTTTGTGCTTTTTTTTTTTTAGTTGGAGGTCTTCATGTCTACTATATTCAAGAGCATCTTTTGAACTTCATGGCTTTACCTGAGTCATAACAACTTGCCACAGGTTCTGCCACATGTACTAGATATCCCTGTAACGCAGTGTCAAACTAAACAGAGTCAGGCATCCAACTAAACGTCAAGTTTGCAATGGCTTGCTTCAAACTCCCAATAGCCGAGCTGGTATTTGTCAATCTAATTCCTTATTTCACAAGGCTTTAATTTTGTTTAATATAGTATATGCAGCCTCTTTAAGCATCTTCACTGAAAGATACTGGGCACAAATTACCCCCTCCCAACCCTACTTGGCAATATTCTGTCTACAGTGAGCTGCATTATGTCTTTAGTTTCAAAATTGGTGCCATAAATGCTTTTATCCAAGAAGAAATGTTGAATTTTGAGAACTTCCAATGTACTGAAGTATTTCTTTTCCTTTTTTTTTTTAATCTAGACAGCACTTCCATTGCCATAATGTGCAGCTTGTCTCACTGTACTAGAAGAAGGTAACTTGGTTTAATTTTGACTTAGACTGAAAAACTAGTTTGCTTTGCTTACCATCTTTGCTGTTTCACAGGCATTTGATGCTTTAAATCAGCTGTGGAATGCTGAAAGATTCACTTGTTTTTATGAAGCCATAAGCCTTTGAGAAGTTGGAGAGAAAGACTTCTTTGCTTATCTTATTTTCTCCTTTGGAATCAAAGATGTTCCTTTAAAAGTGAAACACTACAGAGTTGCAAAAATTTGAAACAGTATGAGTAAGCATCGTTTTGCAGCTTCTTTGATGGAATTGGTCAATTTTTTTTTATTTTTACAGTATTCTGTAGCTGACTTACATGTACATGATTTATTTGGAGGGGAGATCTTTGCAAACTCCCCTTGAAACAGTAGGAAGGCAGAAAATAGTATTATCCACTTGCTTTTTCGGGTTAAGCGAATGATATCCTCTATTTTTCTTTACACAAGGATCTGAAGGCATTTTGTACTGGGAACACTGTGACTTCAAATTCTAGGCAAAACTGAACTTTGTGTGGAATATCCCCACCACCCTCCATATCACAAGCAATACTTTGTTTAAGAATGAGATGCTGAACATGTAGAACAATCCATCTCCATGTTAGATGGTTGGATGTTGTGTGGAAGATCTTAAGGACTGCTTGTTCCATTCATGAGGAAAATCAGATGGGAAGTGTGGCATTTCAGGGAAACTTTACTTTGAAAATTACAACACTAGTACACAGCTCAAGTTTTATACATTTAACATCTGCTTTTTGAAAGAAATGTTAACAATTTTGAAATGAAATTAAACATTGGTTTAACTTTTCCTCACAAAAGCATAAAAGTCATGGAGGGGAAAACTTAACAGGCAACAATAAAAAAAAAGGTAAAAACAACTTTTCCTTTTAGTAGTCCTCTGGTAGTAAAGATAGAACAACTTCCACTTTTCTTTTTTTTTTTTTTGAGAAGCAATCTGTCTTGGTCCAAAAGTTTAAAGAGTGTTTTTAGTATCTGCTTCTGCCTCCACCTCTATCAGATCTGCTTCCACCACGGCCACCACCTCTGGGTGCTCCGCGGCTCGAACTACTGTAAGAATCACGAGGAGGAGGATAGCCCCTTTCCATGGATGGGGGAAGACCCCTGTCTTGTCTTCCAACACGATCACGGCCACTTGAGTAGACATCACTTCTGCTGCTTGAGTAACTTTCTCGGCTTCCATATCCATCTCGTGTGCTGCCGTAATCATCATATCGACTGCTTCCACCATAAGATGGCGGGGGCCCTCGTGCAGGTGGAGCACTACGTGAGTTACCTGCAGGGTCAATGGTCAGGTAATATGGCAACACCATAAGTTATATATAACAATTTCAATCTGAATTTACAGAATTGCTGTTATTAAATGTTTACTGCTACTCTTTTGTATGTATTGAGATGTTCTTAATATAATCTGCCACGTTAATGGTATTTAAAGTGGGGATTGCATATCAGGCAGTGAGTGGATTTAAAGACTCTGAAGGAATGAAGACGGTGTTTATTCAGGCAGGCTCTTTACTGGGTATTCCAGAACAGCTTGTTATTTTAGAGAAGAAACTCAGCCATATTTTCCAGAGATAGTTGCAATTCTGAACTGTAGACTTTGCTTCTTTAGCTTATAGCTTATTTAACAAGATGATCAAATGATAACCAACAACTGCACTTTCACTGTAAGGGGAAAAAAAAAGTGTGCCACTTCCCCCTAAAACACAAGCAACCTAGTAAAAGTCATGTTTTATAAGACACCTGCACAAATTACATGATCCTCAAAATGGATTCTTACCATAACTCTCATATGAATCTCTGTAGGAGCCTCCACTTGGATGATCCGAGTAGTCTCTGTCACGTCCACCACCGTATCCATCACGATCACTATAGGAGGAAAGACTACTAAGACTTAGTACAAATCAGTGGGATCATAGCAAGAATAAAGTGACAGGAAGAAAAATCCAACAGTAGGTACCTATATCCCCTAGAGGGGTATTCGTCACGTGAACTGGAATGACCGTAATCACGATATGCGTAGTCTCGTGGAGGTGGCGCGTAGTCCCGTGTATCCCTGGAACTGGGATAATCTCTGCTTGAATAACTACAAAGAACAAGAATTGAGATGTTAGCTGTATGTCACACCTCAAAAATCAGGGATAAAATCCTTCTCTGAACAAAAAAAAAACACAACCACTAAACTAGTAAAAGAATTTACCCATCTTTAGTGCTATAGCCATCATCTCTTGGAGACATGTAGACATCTCTTCGTGATGGCATCGGTTCTCTGCGTGGAGGACCACCGTAACTGTCTCTTCCACGTGACACAGGAGCTTAAGAGAAACAGTCCAAATTTTTTAACTTAATTAGCATTTAGCCACAAAGAAAACTCCAAGGCAAGTAAGTATTAGCAGACTGTTTATAGCAATTTAAACACATCTCTGTAGCCTGCATATGTAATACTTTACATTTCTGCTTATACAGTTTTAAAGCAGCACTAGAAGGAACATATCAAATCACACCAAATTGTTCCAAACAGCTACAAAATGATACAGGTATGAAGACAACTGATAGATTAGAAAAACAGTACTATCCCACAGCAGATTTAAGTTAGAATCAATGATTTGCAACAGGTCCTGAAGAAAGACTAAGGTGCTACAGCTGACTAAGCAACAAAGTAATTCAGAAAGTCCTTACCTCTTCCTCCCATACTACTGCTACGCACTGGTCCTGAAGGTGCAGATCTTTTAGGTGGAGGGCCTCCACTTCGTGGAGGTGGACCTCTCTTCATGGGAAGTGGCCCACGCGAAGACCCTAGAAGGATAAGCCATGAACCAACTTGTTATTTCTGTGATATCCACCTGTATGCCCCTAAAGCCTGAACTACAGTAATATTACCACTATGTGATCAACACTAAACCTCTGAAATTAGACCTCAAAGCCTTCTCTTGTGTTTTTGGCCACTACTAGATGCTACTGGCAGAATTGAGAGCCCACCACATTAACTTTTCCACAGCCTGAATTCCTGTCAAGAACTGTCTTTTAGAACTTATTCAAAAGCCACAGGGTGTGACACAAGGGAGAAGGACAGCTGGTATCTGTAATCAGTCACAACTTAAATGCTCAACAAGTTACTATTCTCAAAAGACAAGAGCCACCTGGGAAGATGTACTAGAGAAGATCTACAGAGAGGGAACAGAGGCACTACAGAGTCTGTAGAACCTACTACACAGACTCTTCAAGACAAGAGAGTCTCAAGACAAACTTTGAGACTGTTTCGGGGGGGGTGGGGGGTGTCTGCATTATAGCTTTTACTGTTTTACCTCAGATGCTGCTTGCTTTTTCTTTTAAGCGACAGTTTTGATACTGAAAAGTCTCTGAATAAATAGCTGTATCTTAAATTAAAGAATATCCAGTATCAAGTAATGTACTATCCTTCCACTTCAGAAAGCTTCAACTCAACACACTACTATTTTGTAACAACAAACAAGGCTTAGCTTCCCTAACTCCCACTATGATCTGGAAGGATCAGTCCTAGAATTTACTAAGCTGAGACCTCTTGCTAGTAAGAATGAAGGGCAGTTCCCTTTCCCTGGTGGAAGAGAATCGCTTTTTCAACTTGAATACCAGAAAGCTTCCTTTCTCACGTGCAGGGCAGGAGTTTTGCTTTTCTTTCATAGCCAAAAGTCAAGTGGAGTGTTAGTTGTAGAAGGGAATCTTCATATTTGAAAGCCTTTTCTTAAGGTGTACTTGCCTAATCAAAAATTGACTATACTGCCGAGATCATATTTCATCATTTTAATAAAGAACAAGGAGTGCACTATTCGGCTGTTTGACTTTTTTTTCCAGTAGGATTATTGTCATCTTCCAATGGGATTGTCTTGTATGTTGTCCAAGTATATAATGAGAGAGGTAAATACATACCCAAGTGACTCCCTCTTGAAGGTGGTCCTCTCGCGCCACTTCCGCCTCTTCCACCTCTAAGGCCCCTGGGAGGACCTCTGCTTCGTGGAGGGGGTGGCGGCCCACGCCTACCACCACTTTCAAAGGATGGCTTGGTTGCTTGTTCCACTTTAATTGCTTTCCCATCTAATGACTAAAGAAGAAGCTGCTTTACTTACTGCTCAGTCATGTTTGTATTTCTTAAATTAAGCCCCTCTTGCTTCACTATTATAGGGCTTCCATTTTATAAAGTTAGAGCAACTCTAGAACTGATTTCAGTCTTCAGTATTAGTCCCCATGTACTCAGCGGCACGTTGGGCCTAATTTCTACAGTACTTCATTCTTGTGGTATTGATGAAAAAAAAATACAGAGCAGCATCAGAAAGGACTTTCAGTGAAAACACAAGCGTCCAATGATTACGGCAGCCCCATGTCATTTATTCTGTAAATGAAACACGATTTATGATCTCCAATTTACTTTCAATTGCCACGGACTTTTGTACCAAACTAGGACTGCACCAGTAGTTACAGGATTAAGCTGAAGATATCTTAGCTTCAGTTGGGATTTCTGGCAATGGGGAGGCCGTTTAGTACATTTTCTTGATGTCCTGATAAAACGGTGATCACTGAAGTATTTAGAAGTAATTTCAGCATCTACAAAGCAGACTGAGTATGATAATTCACCCCTCTTTTCTACTGTTTCAAGCTGGGTTTTCAAAAAAGGTGACTGTCACAATTTACTTTATTACTTGCTTTTCCAAAGTGGAGGTGCTTTGTGGTTTTTTTTGATTGTTTGTTTGTTTGGGGGGTTTGTTGTTTGGAGGGGAGGGTGTTTGTGGGGGAAAAGAGTGGAAGCTTTTTCTGGAATATAGACCTGCAATAACAGGAACTCTGCAGTCTATTATTGTACTTCAAACATGAGCAAGTGGTAACACATATTGAGTAACTCAACCTAATTAATCAAATTTCTGTATAATCCTTCAGAAACCACACATTTGGTTATTATAGCAGAGCCAAGATCACACACTCTACTGAAGTTAGGTTACTGCACATCTATCCTGGCAAACGGTTTATTTGCCTTTTTTAGCAGTTAAATATTAACTCTGCTATGACAATTAATGAATTCTGCATGCAGGAAGTGTTTATTGCACTTCGTTGCTGCAATAAATGAACAAGAACATGACTGCTCGTAATGGCTTACTCTGAACTGCTTACAGTCGTTTACCGATGTACTCAATCTTTTTGTTCTCCACAGAAATCTAGCCCTCTCTGAAAGCATCACTTTAGTAGCTCATGTATTCTGCCACCATATGTAGTTGTAGCTACTGTTTGAAAAACCAATGTGTATATCCACAGGTCCAACTTGATCCATTGTGAGGAAAAAAATACTAGCAAAATCATATTGGTCTTGGCTTTGACTTAATAGAAGTATTTTACTTATGGAAGGTTCCTCTAAAAGCCTTTTGGCATGACAAGCTGAAACATTCCAGGAGTGAGCATTAGTACCTCTAATCACTGGAACTTCTCAGTTTGTGTCGTATTATTTTGCCATCATCATTCATCTGTCTCAGTCATCCTTCTCAAAACAGGAACAGTAGGCTTGAAGCCTTAAGCTTTGCCATCATGACCACTGCTGTCCTCAATTTCACGGCAGATTCTTGACAGCTTATTTCGAGTTTGGAAACCAAACACCATCCCCTTCTGCTAGCATCAGTTCTGAAAACATGGATGCTAGGTCCAAGTTCTTTCCTTTTTTATGTAGGAGGTACAGTTTTCCTCATAATTTCTCCTGCTATTTCCTTCTGCCTGGCACTTATGCATCTTACCTAGGCAAAAGATAGGTTTCTTTTCAAACTGCTTTATGCAAGCAGTCTTAAAAAGCTATGCCTAAGTTCCAAAAAGACCTTTCATTAGGTCCAAGAAGATTTTTTTTTTTCCTCTCTAACCAGGAGAAGATATTTGTCACAGTTTGTTCTGTTTTAAAGCAGAAGGGACAACTTCATTTTATAGGTTCTTAGGTCAAAGAAGAAAGGTCTCATCTCACTGAACAGGTAAAACTCAGACAAGCCATCTCAGAATAAGGAATTTTTTTCAATGAGCCCAAAGCACCAGCTGTCAACACAAACACTCATTAGTTGGTGTTTATAACCTTGATTCAGAGTGTTACAGTATCATTTTTAGTATGATATGGCCACCATAAAGTGCAGTCACCTTGGTGCTAAAAAGCAGGAAAGTAATTTAAGATATGAGTCATTTAAGGATAATAATAGATTGGCAATCATAAAAACTCCTATAAGTGGAATGAACAATCTATACAGATTTGCAAGGTGAGCCAGGGAACCTTAACCAAACAGAATTAGAGAACTGTCCTGCAAACTGTTCCATGTTCGAACAGAAAAGATGAATGAAATTTGGAGTTTTGGGTGTGGGGCAGAAATCAAATACTCTGAAGAAACTGTTACAGAAACTTGCATGAAACTGCATCCTAACACCACATAGGGCTTTCCTCTCCAATGGATCGTTTTACTGTTGATGCTGCAGTGACTCCACCATTTCTGCATGTTCCTTGATGGCACATCAAGCGGGCTTCCTTTCACCAAATATATTCAAGAACTGAAGATCATTTCTTATTAGGCTGAGCTTCTACATATTGTATCACTTCTTCACCAACAGAACTGGAAATGCTTTCTATTGATTAGAGGAAGACAACCTTCTGCAGTGCTGAGTACAGTTTAGACTGTCGTTTGGATTGTAGTATTTGCTTCCAACCTCTTAACACAGTCCAGCTGGTTTGACAGGTCTACACTGGAATTAAATCACTGGCTTGTCCTGGATGTTTCCTTTAAGGTCACATTCTCTCTTTAATTATCCATTTTGTCCTCAGGACTTAAAATCATAAGATCATGAGAACAGCCTACTGCACAGAATGTCCGCTACAGACTTGGGAGTATTCACACTTGTGTCCAGATAAGCACGTGCATTTCATGACATCAGTATGTAGACTTGACTACCATGCAATTAAGGTTGTCCTTAAAGAAGGTTAATAATTTGCTGTGATGAAGTACTTCTAGCATTTCTTCTCTGCTGCTCAGACATGCTAACATTGATCCAATTCTGCAGAGAGTCATTTAAATGAAAAATCTCCACCCCCGCTCCAAAACCGTTGTCTCCTGACCTCCTTCTGCAGGACTGAAATTAATCTTCAACAAGCAAGCTTAGACTAGTCTATGCTTGTCCCATTTTACAATGAAATACCATTAACCTCCTTCATTCCCCCCACCCAGAAAGGGGCAAAACATTGGACAAAGTTTTTCACAAACATTTGCAAAGCAAAAAAATCAAATCCAAATTTACTCTTGCAGAATCTATCCAAGTCAGCCTCATCTACTGACTGCAACTTTGAACTCTTTTGGGATGACAAAATGAGCAACACGCTGGTGACGCAGAACTCTTCCCCTTGGCCAGACTAAATCCTTAAAGACTGCTTGAACTACTGCCTGCACAGTGCTTCTGCTGCTGCTTCTGAAGTGCCTAGAATTCTCATGAGCATTCCAATCCATCATTTCCAAATGGACAGAAAAACTCCAAGTTCTGATTTATTACAATGATTTCTTCCCACAGCATGCCTCAAACATCGCTCCTCAGATCTAGAATGCAGAGTCCTTTTGAGGTACAAGCAGCACTTATGGTCCAGAAGGCTTTCTGAAGATGAGGACAAGAGACTACCTTATGAACATCTTCCACATCTTTCATATCCATAGTCGAACCAAGCTAGACCAGTACAGAACCGGTACTATACGCAGCAGCACCTAAAGGTTTATGTTAAGAAGGTCATTCTAAGCCAAATCCAGAGTGAGGATGTTCTTTTCATACACTATTTGCTGCTCAAATTTCAAAGCAGATGAAGGCACTTTCAGATTTGTGGTGTTGAAGACAGAAACCATGAGAACGATGATCCACAAGGCAGTACTTTTGAGCACTTCTTGACAATGATGCAGATGGTGCATTCCAGAACGTGTAGACATCACCTCAGCCACAAACATTCAATCTCATTTAGCTACTTTACTAAGCTTTACTTTCCTGCATGTTTCCAACGTGACCAAACACATGCCACAACATTCAGGATTTAGACCAGTTGGTGATTATTTTCAGAGGGATTTTAATTTGAAAGCTGCACTCCACAAACTTAGGATTAGTGACTGAACTCCTTTCAGTCTGACAATTAGTTGTTGGTGCTTGAATTTACCTTATGTGAGGATTCACTGTAATGACTACTTCAGAGGAAATCAGTGTTTAAGAACTGCAGTAAACAAGTCTTCAGAACTGTAGCAAACTACACGGTGAAGAAATAAATTCAATAAAAGGAGCACCTTTAAGGATGTTTAGGCTGGTACAGAAAGGACATTATCTGACTTGCCACTCTGGGCCTTGACAAAAACTACTAACTTGTTTAAAAAGGAAGCAAGTCTCCAAAGAAAGTAACACTAGTTGTCATGAGGTTGTCCTGAAGCACCCAGAAACTAAGTACACACACAGCAGGAAGCCTGCTGTAAAACGAAACAAGGAAGTTTTACTATGTGTGTTCACTGTGAACACTACAGCAAGCTCATTTTCTTATTCCCGAAGTGCAAATATTCATTATGCTTTACTTACTGACCGCAATGACTGACATTTTTCTTTTACTTCAATGTCTTATGCTAACAAGACAAACAGCTATTAAAATCCCAAGTGTTAAGTAATCAGAATCAGTAGAGGCTTCTTCATCTTACATGAATGGCATCTCAGAGACACTGCTTAGAAAAAGGCCAATGCAGCATGACCTTAACACCACCGTTCAGATTATGCATGAAAGACCAGAGTCTGAAATTCAAGTTAGCTGAGAAGACGGCTTTCACTGCCCAAAGAGACAGTGCCTCTATGAAGATAAGCAGCTGTTGCCCATTAAGTTGCAAACTTGCATCTAGCTTTTCAAACACATGCCAGAACACACACAGATCACAATAGCCTACAATCCTTTGACAAACTGTCCTGGTATTTCTCTCAGAACTTTTGCTCCAAATTCCTAGGCTTTTCTTTTTAAAGACATTACAGATGCATTAAATTTTTATTTCCTCTTAAAGTCATATCATTGCATTGTAGGGTGTTCGCAAGCAAATTCAACTGCTGGCTAACTGCAAAGCTATTTCACATTAACTGGCAAGACACTCCTCATACATGCCAAGTAGATTGATGATGCAACTCACAAATGTAGGAGGTTATCTACAGATTACCAGATAGCGCATCAACACTCCAGCACAGTAGGGAAGTCACATTAAACCCATGTTAAGGGAACCATTAATAGTTTTCAGGTAAGTCACTTCCCTAAAGTGTAATTTACACAGTACTACATTCAAATATGATAAAACAAGAACATTACAGGAGACATGCAAGAATGAAGAGCCAACTACTAAAAAGCCCTCCATCACCAATTAAAACAAAAAAATAAAAGAGGAGAGTATAACTGACAGCCAGAATTCACTTTCTACTGTCAAATCCATAATCAGGAGAAAGTGATTCCAGCTTCAGGGAGACAAGAGACATTTTGCCAAATTTAAGTTATGACTTGTCTCCAGGATCTTCTAACCCATTGTCTTTCCAACTTCTATTACTCATTAATTTACCCCGAAGATCAATACCGCTGGTCAAAGCAACAGCAACATACAATTGGTCTTAATTCCTACCTTTCCATTCATATCTCTGGCAGCATCTTTTGCATCTGCTGGACTCTCAAATGTGACAAATGCAAATCCTCTGGACTTGTTGGTTTCACGATCTTTCATCAAAAGGACTGCAGAAATAAAGCCACGTTACACTTTCCTGTAATTAGGCAGCAACACTTAACCTTTATTTAACCTTTTAAGCTCAGAACTTCTTAGAGGACACGAAAGCACCATCATTTCAGATGATCAACGCCAAAAAAGTCATCACAGCTATGTTGTTGCTTTTTATTTTTTACTATCTTAAAATTGAAAGGTTTTTCTTTTTACCTTCCACAATGCGTCCATATTTGCCGAATACAGCCTCAAGGGCTTTTTCATTAGTCTCTGTGTTTAGGCCCCCAATGAACAGTTTCCCAGGACGATCTGCTTCAACCATTTTGATTCTGCAAATGACCTATTAAAAGCATAAGGTTGTTATTAACGAAACATCAGACTGCAACAGAGACTTTCATACCACCTCATAGAAGTTACTTCTTTCCTCAAAAGTACAAGCAAATTTTCTTTAGCAAGATGTCAATTAAGAGATATGAGGTATAAAGAACATAAAAAAATAAATTTTTTAGACTGAAACCACCAGAAGTAGTACTGCCTTCAGTTACTTCTTCACATTATGTAGTTTATTTCAAATAGATTAAGTTAATTCTAAAAAGTGGAACAAAGCACTGATGAGAACTCTCGTAAGATCAAGTAGTATTGGTGAGTGTGAAAAGTTTTTTCAGAAAAGTTACTGTCTTTTTGCCCTCAATGGTAATCCTAGCGCTCCCTCCCTCCAAATCCTGCCATAGGCATGCCAAGAAGTTTACTTAGTATGTTAAAGTAATACCGAAATATTAACTTTAAAGTCAGCTTGGGCCAATATTCCAAATTAAGCTCATTCTTTAAATTATTTAAAGTACATCGAGACTACGCCAAAGTCCTGGCCTACACAACGTGTCAGTCTGAACGAACACCAGACCACCACTGCAGTTCTACACAGCAAGGCCATGGCTAAGGCCAGTCGGGGGCGGAGGACTCAAAAAAAAAAACAACCAAAAAACCACACCGAAAAAAAACCCCAACCAAAACAAAAAGCCGAAGACAAAGCAAAACCTCAGAGCGCCTGGCAAAACGCCTGGCGCCTGTGGCAAAACGTTACCCGCATGCCTCCAGCCCAATGGCGGGAAAGCTCGCAGCAGCGTGCAAGGAGGGCCTGCGCAGCTCCCTCCGCACACAGGGGAGCGGGGACAAAGCAGCCCCGCGGGAAGCGGGAGGCCGGCGGGGGCCGGGCCGCCCAGGAGGCCGCCGCCCGCCTCTCTACCCCACGAAGGCGCACACCGGGACGGGGAACGGGGGGGGGGCGGGACGAGC